CAATATTTTTGTTGATTGCTGTATTTATTGTCATTAGTCATCTTCATTATATTTAACCTTATCCCAATTTTTTATTTCATTATTGTGCTCATAGATCATTTGCATTTTCTGCATCACAAGTGTCACAAGCTTAATGCAGATTATTAATCCTATATTTCTTCATCCAATTTTAAAATAATGCTCATCTTCTTCTAGTATGGGTTCTCTCAGTATATATTCCACATATAATGTAGGCTCAAAAATAAGGAGAGAATATAGGGCTTTGGATCAAAATGATACAGTTTCAAATCCTGAGTTATATGGATCTTTCCTATTGTCACTAAAGAAAAAGCCCTACAGTATGTATTTGTGATTTGAAAACAAAAACAAGGGATCTTCAGGTAGATAATGAAATTGCAACAAGAAATTCTACCGTTGAACACTTTGTTACTTTTTGGATGAATTATAATGTTCCCGAAGAACTAATTAACAGGATTCCTATCAATTCCATTATAAAACGGAACATTTAGTTTCACTTTCTTTCCTTGAAAAAAGCTTGTAGCAATATTACTAGCGAAAGAGGGGGTATAGCTCAGTGGTAGAGCATTTGACTGCAGATCAAGAGGTCCCTGGTTCAAATCCGGGTGCCCCCTTTACATTCTTTTTTCTTTTAATATTTAAAATTTGACATTCACAGCAAGCCGTAATGCTCACCGATCAGAATTTAGTAATAACACATAAACACAAGTTCCCTAACAAGAATCTCTGTAAATCTGAGAAATACATACCGTTCTAATCGTTTTACCATATCACAGTCGGCTTCCTTTCTAAGCAGTCTAAATAATTAATTCCTCAAGACAGCAGTTCTTGTTCCTTCTGTCTCCCTGACATTTTTGCTCCGAACTATAGAATGAAAATAAGGAATCGCACTTACAGAACCAGATTATCTTTCTCTCGGCTACGATTTAGTGCCTGCAGTGTTTACATACATGAACTGAGCTTTCTTATGCGTGTTGTAAGTTGTTCATGTGAAACCAGAAGAATAGCTCTCTCGGTAAATTGCAAACCAATAATCATCAGCACATGAGGGAAAAGACCTTCCTCCAGTGCCCTCTTCTTCTTTTTTTTAAAGGATTCGGCTCCAGCTGCTTCCATCAGGAAGCGGTAATTCCTCGCAACTGCAAGATAAACCACACCGTTTGTATTGTGGTGGTTTGATTGTTCTATGCTTCAACACCCACAACAGCTAGCAGGGAAAATATCCATCAGTCTTCAGGAACGGGATAGGTCTGGTTACAAGTTCCTTTTCCTTTGGTTTCCTCTCTGTTCTCTTCTCCTAGGCTCCATTTTGACCATATGCATACAATTTATCACCATGAAATAGATAAGAAGCACGAAGAGAGACTTGTCAAGCAGCACATTGATTTAGGACTAAGGGTGGGTCTGATTGCAGGGCTTCCTTATCTCTTAGTTCCATTCTGACTACATCTGCTGCATAAAATAAATTATTAAAGCAATGTCACAATCATGAAAGAGGTCAAACTCATGAAGGAGACAGACTACAAGCTGTGTGCTTATTTAGGATTTTCCTACTGTTTCCTTTCTTTCCTTCATAAAGGAAATGAATGCTTTCCTCTGAAGGAGATAAAGAGAGGAATATCTATCCATCAATGTATTGTTTCAGCCTTGTGGAAAAATCTCTTAAAAGTGTGGGAGGAAAGCTGTCACCATAGTGCTGACAGAATGGTCTAGCTCTGTTACATAATTACCATTTTAATGTAATGATCAAAGATTTTTCCATACAGGATGTCCCAAATAATGATACATGGCAGGGAGCTGTTTGCATACAGCTGGTGCAAGGTTGCTGAAGTATTACAAAAGGAACCTTCATATTAAAAGATGCAACTCTATCCATCTTATACAAATTTGAAGGACCCCCACTACACTGCTGCTGTGCATAGCCTTTAGAGTCAAAAGCAACATGGTGGCAGTCTGATTGCAGATGGAAGGGGAGAGATCATGTCACATAAGGATAAAATGAATATTGACATATAATGACTAGTCTTACTTGCAACTTTGGTCAGTTCATTTCATTCCCTCAAGCTTTACCAATTAAAGTTTTATGATTTTCCTCAATACTCAGAGGCACATTCTAGATGGCTTGTCATCCAGATTCATCTAAATGTTATAACAGTCTAGTTTTCTTGGTAAAAACCGAGCGCTTATATGTAATCTTTTATTCAAAGTTTGATTTTTGGTAAGCTTATACCTGTACAGTTTCACCTGTCTTCACTCTCACTTTTGGATAATTCTATCACCCTTCCTTTATTGATTTTACCAGCAAGAGTGACCCTCCAAACATTTATATTCTCACCAGCCTAAATATCATATCATAGAAGCTATTAGACTATGCTAGTGATGGCAAACCTTTTAGAGACCGAGTGCCCAAACTGCAACCCAAAATCGCCAGGTGCCAGGTGGGCGTGGCCCACTGGGTGGGCATAGCTGTGGTGCTCATGGCAGACTGTGTGGGTGTAGCCAAGGTGGGCATGATCACCTTAATGTTGCTAGGGGGAGGGATACCTGTGGAGGCCGGGCAGAGTTGGGGGAAATCCAGGGGGTCTCTGGCAGGTGGGGCAGTAGGCTTGAGGCTTGTCCTGCGGGGTGAGGCAAAGCAAGGCAAGGCAAGGCAGGACAGGGGGGCCATTGTTGCAGGGCAAGGCAGGGGCCGGGGCTGCTGCTGCCTGACACCATCGCCCCTGCACACAGAGGCCAGCAAGCACATGGGTGCTGGGATGCATCCAGCCATGTGGACCTCGGCGAGTTAGTGGGTGTCTGGGTTGAAGAGGGTCAGTTGCCATCTCCAGGGCATGGCATGTGTGCCCACAGAGAGGGCTCTGAGTGCCGCCTCTGGCACGTGTGCCATAGGTTCGCCACCACTGGACTATGCCATTAATTTTTTTTCCATGGGAAGAGGAATGGTATAGTAAAACAACTCAAAACAAAAACAACAGAATTGAGGTTATTATTGGTTTATAGCAGGTTCAATAAAATACATCTTCTAACATGAACAAATGTATGTAGGAACATATTAGATTCGGATATACATGATAATGTATGTAATGACAACGATGTTTAAGATACTCTAAATATATTTTTCTTTTTGAAGCTGAAATGGCCATTAACAAGTTACATCGGGGTCTGACCCCTAGTCCTATCCTTGAGTTGGCAAAAAAACAATATCAACATTACATTTGTTGACTGTATACTGATCCCTACTCTGTGTCTTTTCTGAGAAAGTAATGAATGCTCTCAAAAGTAGAGAAATGTTTACAGTGTTGCCAGTTTCTATAAATGGGAACAACCAACATTTCAATATTACTCAGCAAATTCAAAGCACAGCTTGATCCAGTATATGAAGGTTTACAGGAAAATAATATCAAAGCAATATAAGCTTGTGCATGTTTTCAGTGGGAGAACTTTGCAATTATGCACTCTGGAATGCATTATTTTACATAGTTAATATTAAGATCATGCTGTCGTTATTCTATCAATTATTTTGTGATGAAGCAGAATTAGGGTTTAGAGTTACAGAAGTTGTTGCTTAGTACATCTGGAAGGTTAAAGGTTAGAGAAGATAGTTTCTTATCAAAAGTGGACGATGATTTCATTATCTGCATTGCATGTATTATATTCATTTCATTAAAGCCACTGACTACAGCCTAAGCAAGGAAGATTCAATTTGGTCAATAAATATTTCCTTTTCAAACAAACTGAAGTGGTTGAAGCTATATTTTTTTTATTACATTTACACGAAAGTGGTAGTGATAATGGGTAGTATAAGAGTATGTAAACAAAAATCTGTGCAAAGGGCAAACCAGGAAAGAACCCAGTCTGAAAATACTTTGGTGCACAATAGATTTTCTAGTTAAAGCTTAGCTAGCCAATATTCAGATTTATCTTCATAAGAAAAGAGATTTTTGTTATACATTAATATTAGCAATAAAAGATATTGAATACATGGAGAGAACTATTTATTACAAAAGTCTGAATGAGAGGGAAAATTTCCTCTATATACATCTAAATGGTTTCAAGTTCACCCTGCAATTGCTCAAGAATTTACTGAAGCAATCAGCTGTTCATTCCTCCACAATCTCCAATTTACACTGTACACTTTATTTTCATGTAGAAAGAAAACATGAGTTAGAATCCAAAAAACTATAGAATTGGTTTTGCAGAAACTGGAAAAAGTTTCAGAATCAGGCTGTTGATGATAATGGGTTGGGGAATTGCTATCAAAGACACCAAAAGGCAGGAGTTATATGCTGTAATCATGGGCCACTGTCACTTAACTATCCACATGATTTGTGGTACAACCATTACAACCATTTGTTTAGTGAACATTAAAAATGTGATTTAGGTCATTTTTCACACTTACAACTGTTGTAGCATCCCCGTGATCACGTGATCAAAATTCAGACATTTTGCAACTGGCATCTATTTATGATGGCTGCAGTGTTCCGGTGATTATGTGATCACTTTTACAATATTCTGACAAGTAAAACCGGTCAATCCTAGTGGAAATCAACCACAACTGCTCTTTAGATGGCCAGATCCTGAAGTTGAAACTCAAGTACTTGGGCCACCTAATGAGAAGGAAGGACTCACTGGAGAAGGGCCTAATGCTGGGAAAGATTGAGAGCAATAGAAGAATGGGATGACAGAGAATGAGGTGGCTGGATGGAGTCACTGAAGCAGTAGGTGTGAACTTAAATGGACTCCAGAAGATGGTAGAGGACAGGAAGACCTGGAGGAACATTGTCCATGGGGTTGCGATGGGTCGGATATGACTTTGCAACTAACAACAACAAAAGTCAATGGGGAAGTCAGATTCACTTAACAACCATGTTACTAACTTAACAAGTGCAGTGATTTGCTTAACAACTAGGGCAAGAAAAATAATAAAATGAAGCAAAACACCTAACATCTGCTTTGCTTAGCAACAGAAATTTTGGGCTCAATTGTGGTCTTAAGTCCCTTCTTTTTTCTTAGCTTTAATTATAAATAACAAATACCATAGCCAAAATATTTCTGACTGCAGACAAAATTACTAACAATATTATGTCCTCCTTCCCTGTTCTATCCCCTCCAGCATGAGAATATCGCAGGGTCATTAATCCAGATGCAAGACTAGAACAGTCGAGGTGGCGGTTCTATCATCCTCAGGATAACAGTCATTAGGCCAAATCATCAGCGATGCTATATGAAAAATAGAGAAGAAGAGGAAGCACAGAGCCATTGATGACATGCGTCTCCTTCCCTCTTCCCTTTGTTCTCAAATTGTAGACTGCTCCTGCAGAAAGCTTTCTGATCCAGGTGGAACTCGCTCTGCTTCCGATGCCAGAGCTGCCTCGCGCAGCACGCTCACGTGCTCCTCTACCGCGGACAAGGATTGGTCGATCCAGTCCATGTGGCTGGGGAACTGGCAGGCATGCCGAGTGATCAGCACCAAGTGACTCACTGAAAGCAGCAGCGCCGTTGTCCTGCAAAAAACAAAAGCAAAACAAACAAACAAACAAAAAAACAAACAAACCTGAAATAGGGGTGGGGCTCATGAGCCAAGCCCCACCCTTCCTACTCAGCTGTCAAGCCTCTTGGGGTTTTTTGTATTTAAGGTGCGCATGCACCTGTGTTAAATATGTTAAATTGAAAGATATTATAATACTAACATTTAATTACCGTATTTGTTTATTCAGTTTGATGCTGCCTGACTCTAACAGACTATTTAACATTAGTATGATAATATTTTTAATGCAGTTCTAGCACTTTTGCACAGAGCCAGTGTGTGTTAAGCAACTGAGAGGTTGAATTCTATATCCACTTTAGATAGAAAGCTGGATGATCTTGGGCTGATCGCAACTGCAAACCACTTCTGAAAAAAATCTCACCAATAAATTACAGGAAAGCAAGCAAGATTGATTATCATAGGATTAAGTGAATGGTCTTCAAAATTTAATATTGAAAGAAAAATGTAAAATTGAATCTGCTGTGTAGTGGAAACTTACAGAGTGGACAAGCCTCTCAAAGAAACTACAATGGATGTGAACAAGAAATGGTAGTATAAAGGCAGGATGTAAGAGAGATACGTAGGCAAACATTAGCTGGGTCTTTGAAGTGGGAAAAAGAAAAATACATGCTGTAAAAACAGCTGCAAGAGGAAATGGGTAGTCAGGGAAAATTAACTGAGATAACAGGAAAGATAACTGAATGGAATAACCAGAAAGGCAAACTGAACTGAAAAAGAGGAAAGACCTTATTGTTCTAAGGAGCCATAAAAAAGGGCCCAGAACTCAAAACAGACAATTGAGCACACCTAATAGCTGATTAATATTATTTGATACACCTTGCATAAATTATCTCCTAATTTTAATGTAGATGTGATGTATGATTTAGTATGTAGCAGGAAATATGTTGGAGGCAGTCAGGAAGAGTCAGTACTTCATAGTACCTGAGTCAATGGGGAATGAGGAGGGATATGGCAGCTGGGTTGTATAAAGAAGGGAATATTTTGGGTTGGAACTTTGGAGAGAACCAAGCTTTGATAGCTTCTCTCCCTGCTTATTGCAATAAATGAAACAAAAGGCCTTCACTGTGTCTTGACTAGTTATTGGTCAGGCGAGCTTGTTTCTGGTTACAAAGTAGCCAGGAGTACATAACAAACAGAAGAAGAAAAAAAAGCAGATTTGCAGCGCAATCTCCACATGCCAGTCAAATGGGAGGAGCTCTCAGCTCAGTGAAAGGTGGATGGAGAAAACTGATCTAAGGCTCATAAAGTAGGGATATCATGAAAGACCTTTACAGATCATAATAAAGTAATTTTTAAATGGAAATCCAGTTTTTTTTCAAATGAAAATTAAATGAAATGCTATTGCAGGAAGGAAACAATAGTGGAGGATAGTAAAAAAATTAAAAGAGGTTTTTGAAAATACTTATAAAGGTACAGATATAAGAATGGTTTGGGATACAAACAAAGCTTTCATGAATTATTACTTCATATGACTTAATAGTGAATTTTCTAATCGATGTGCAGATCTTTCTATCTTGTAATGCCAAGCATGTATCTTTCCATGGCTCTTTGTGCCACATGTAGTTTTTGTATTGATTGTGACAAACGAAAGTATACAATATCATCATGAGAGTAAAATAATTGAAATGGAAATGGACTGGTCACATAGCAAGAAGAACTGGTGGCAGGTGGACAAAGTGCTCATAGAATGGATCCCACTTGATAAAAGGTGTCCATGAAAGAGCCCTAAAACAAGATGGATCAATGACATCAGCAAGATTGAGGGCCCAATTGGCAAAAGGAAGCTCAGGACCGCTTAGGTTAGAAACATGAAGAAGAGGCCTTCATCATGCAGTGAACGGAGAATGGCTAAAATGGTAATGAATAGTGAATTCAAAAAGAAAAGGCAAGAGAAAAACAAGTTATTCTGGATGAGATAAGAAAATGAGGAATTAAAGAATTTTCCAGACAAGGTAAATATTTCTCAACAAATTATGCTTCCATAGGTATAATTATCTATAAGATAATTATATTAAGAGAAATAAAAAATAAAAATAAATCATGCAAAAAATGCAAATAAAGTTTGCAAATAAACTAGAGAAGTGATTGGTATATAGTCTCGAAAAAGAACAAATATTAAAATTACAAAAAGAGATGCTTAATAAAAGATAATCTGGTCATGAAAAAGTATTTCATCAATATTATTCCAATTTATGTAAATTTCTGTGGAGAAAATAGTTGAATATTTAAAGAAACAAAGTTTGCTGAAGAGTACAGAGAAATACTGAGGCCTCTGAGCGGAGGGCGTACCACCAGCCCGTCTCACATGCCCCGTCGGGGAGGTGGAGCATGAGCATGCGTGCTAGGACCTGAAAGATGGTGAACTATGGCTGGGCAGGGTGAAGCCAGAGGAAACTCTGGTGGGGGTCTGTAGCGGTCCTGACGTGCAAATCGGTTGTCTGACATGGATATAGGGGCGAAAGACTAATTGACCAAAAATTAGAAGCTCTGCAAGATGAAAATCAGAGATTGGCGCAAACCAACACAGAACTGGAGGACAGCATGGCTGTCATGGAGATGGAAAGGGCATTATACTTTCTAAGATTTCAAAATATGATAGACGAGAAGGATGAGAACCTGTTAGAACTGATGAGTGAGCTATTGGCAGATCTACTTGGAATGGAAATGGACAAAATGAAACGAGAATTGGATCAGGTTTTTAGAATCAATTCAAACTACGTAAGAAGAAATAGAGTCCCTAGGGAAGTTCACGTCAGATTCCTTAAGAGCACCATACAAGATGAGATCTTGAGAGCAGCAAGGGATCAACCACTGAAATATAAAGACAAAGAACTTGTAGTTCTTAAACAGATTCCCAGAAGAATAAGAGAAGCCCGAAGAGAATATCAATTTTTAACAAGGAAATTGGTTAACAGAGGAGTGAATTTTAGATGGTTGATCCGAGAAGGATTATTAATCTTTTGGGACTCGAAAAGATATAGACTGGATACTCCAGCTCAAGCAGAGGAATTTTTCAACAACCATAGAGCTTTTCTGGAAAAAGGTGATGTTGAGCCTAAGAAACCAGAGCAAACGACTGCTGCAGAAGCATCAAAGCAAACGGAGGAGGAAGTACTTAAAAAGACTCAACTAGAGGAAGATGTTGGACCCAAAGACCAGAGACAGATAAACTCTCCCGGAAGACTGCGGTCTTGATATAATTGAAATTATGGCGGAAATTGGAATTTTTTCAATAAACATAAATGGTCTCAACTCCCCATCAAAAAGGAGTAAAACATTTCATAGATTACAAAAGTTGAAAATGGACATAATTTGTCTTCAAGAGATACATATTAAGAGACAACATTCTAGAATTTTAGAACAACCAAAATTAGGTAAACTTTATTTTTCTTTGGCAGTACAAAAGAAAAGAAGGATAGCTTTCTATATAAAAGAAAAGATGAACCCAAAACAAATTTATGTTGATGAAGAGGAGAGAATATTAATGGTGGAAATTACGTGGAATCAAAAACAAATATTGATGATTGCAATATATGCTCCCAATGAGAAACAAAATCATTTTTTTCAGTAATTATATGGCAAACTAGTGGATTTAAATTATCATAACCTTTGTATACTTGGAGATTTTAATGCAATTGCTGATGCAGTACGAGACTACAAAAGCCACAAACAAAGGAAAAAAGGGAGAAATATTTTACCTAAGCCTTTTTAAAAAATGAAAGATGAACTTTGTATACAGGATATATGGAGAGAGATGAATCCAGAAAAAGCACAATATACTTTTTATTCAAATAGGCATAAATCGTGGTCAAGAATCGACATGATATGATACAAGAGGTTGAAATAGAACCAAATATTTGGGCAGATCATAATCCAATTAAAATGACTTGGAAAGGATCTAGGAAAAAAAATAAGATGGCTGTTGAATAAATCTATATTGAAAGAAAAATAATTTTTACAATTAGCAATAAAAGAAATGGAATTTTTTAAAAAATCAATAAAAAAGAAGAAACCTCTATTCAAAATGTATGGGACACAGCAAAAGCATATTTTAGAGGTTTGGCTATAATGTATGTTGCTAAAAAGAATAAAGAAAAGAAACAAATACAGGTATAGTATTTGGACAGCCATTTGTCTGAAATGATATAGGTTTCCTGCCTGAGCAGGGGGTCGGACTAGATGACCTCCAAGGTCCCTTCCAACTTTATCATCATCATCATTATTATTATTATTTGAGTTCAATCTAAACAGACAGATAACTCGATAGAAATGATTTCATAACAAATATTTATTGTCCAGGAATTCTAAGTAGAGACTTACTATGCTGTAGATGCTTCTGGTCTTTTCATATCTGTTCATTCCTATAGGTAAATTGATATTGAATTTTCCCCTCTTCTACTGATAAACATCACATGTTGGCAAAGGATCTCCAAGCCGTGTGGCTAGGAGACATGAGGCTGGATGAACAAAGGCATTCCCATCTGGCTTGTGTCCAGGAAGTCTCCCAATGACCAATGACCCTTTGAGACCCCTCCCACTGACCCATCAACATACCTAGCATTTAACCCAATAACTGCCAGATATTCTAACATACTGATACATGCTCTCTAGTTAGGGTTACATAGAGCTATGCGAGGTCCAGAACAATTATTATTATTATTATTATTATTATTATTATTATTATTATTATTATTATTACAGTGTAGATTGAAAGAATAATTTAGCAACCTGGAATCTGAGTTAAGAATTTATCCACAAAAAAAAAATTGAAGACACAAATGCAATTAATAAAACACAAATTAAACTTACTTGAGATGGATATAATGGCACAACAGATCAAATGAGCTAAACAGAACTTTTTTGAAAATGCCAATAAACCAGGAAGATGGCTTGCATACAGATTGAAAAAAGAAAGAGAAAAAAGATTAATAAGTAAGTTACAAGACTCAAAAGGTG